TAGTAACCTTTGGCGTCCAGTTTGATCATCCTGATAAATTCACAACTCCTCAAACACGTTATGGCAATCAATAATTATCAATATTAAACGATATAAAATGCAACTATTATTTGAGGGATCTCACATGGAAAATTAATAATTTAACGCGGTTTTCAAAGCAAGCTTGAAAATACCTGTATAACACAAACTTAAGTAAAAAGATTATAACTATGCTAATCAGCTATTAAATTTTATTTCACATTTTAATTTACAGAAAAGTAACTATTAATACTTTGACAAACATATTTTATAATTCTGAAATTAAGCATATATTTAAGGTTTAACAAATTCTTATAAATTTGTCATTGAAACACTTCATTGAAACACTTCACTAAAAACACTTCTGTGGTGTTAATATTTATGTAATCTAGTGCTGGTGCCAAATTTTTTCTCCTATATGTTTAGCATCAAAAATTTATTAGGGTAAAAAGATAGTATAAATAGGGTAAGATATTAAAGAAAACCCTTTTCTCTAGGTGCAAGCAAATTATTATNACACTGAAAATAATGCCATACTTGCCCTACTTTTTTGCAAACTTTAAGTTATTGTTACGTCATTATTTAATGTATATATATATATATATATAAAAGCTTTCAGCTTATGTGTTAAGATCACAAAACACGTTTTGTAATTCACAATGGAAATCTTGTTGTGTTTAATGGGAAGTGTCCCATTCGTTCACCACCAAAATGCGTTACATTTGCACGCAACTCTCATTTTGCGTATCCATTAGATCAGTTTTATGGGTGGCTTGATGACATTTGTACGTAACCCAAGAGGGTAAGTGCATTCATATTTCGAAGCCCCATTCCGAACATTACTATTCTGTGGAGACGCAACATCGTGTCTTGTAGAACAATACATTCCTTGCTATTCCCATTAATTTGTTTGGATTTTGACAAGTCCGTACACGTTCAAAGAGACTTTGCATTAGCGTGTTTCTCACCTTGTCTTGTTTTCATTGGCTTAAATTGAAATTAATGCTTGATTCTCGAACTCCAAATTTCTTCGTGAAAGGAATGATAGTGTATTCTTTTGTAATTAGAAACATTGATGGCTTTAGGACTAGTTTTATTCTGATTGAGGAGCAAATTAAATTCTAAAGTAATACTAGGAACTTTCTACCATTGCATTTTATTCTACATTTTATAAGTTTTATGTGTTTTGTTTCAGACTCTATTTTTCCCTTTGTTCTATATAATATTATTAAAAACCGCTTATTTGGTATATATTTTTCTTTTACTTTTTTTTTCATTCATTTAAAATAATTTTGATCAGAAACCTGTATTTTAACTGACAAGAAGCTACTAAAATCATTTACTTTTACAAATGTTGACTAATAAAATTTCATTATTTTACTTTTTAGCTCATTTTCATTTTTTGTGAAGTTCATCTGCTTATCACTGTTACATTTTTTAAAGTACAATATCATCATAATTTAATTTTCGTTCCTAGTGCTTAATGTTTAAGGATAAGTTCTTTCTATCTGCCTGTATGAGGATATTCCTTGTCAATACAAATCTAGATTTTTTATTGATCATATTTGCTTCATGTTATTGTATTAACATATTTTTCTTGTTTAATATGATTCTATAAAGTTGTGTGTTTGCTATTATTTGCAAGTATTTTTTTAAAATAAATTAAGATTCAAAACGCAAAAATATAGTTTCAACACAAGCGATGGCCTATTACGTAATTTACTAAATCTGAAACCTTAAATTTGATTTGCTTGATCTGAAAAAAAATTTATAATTCTCATAATATTTTCGGTTCTTAAAATATATTGCTGAAATAAGGTATAGGCAAGTATAACAAATTAAGGTTGTGATTAAACAAATTTCATAAAATACAATTGAAGCTGGAAAAACTTGAATCTTTCTTAATTAGTCATTTAAAAAATAATTAGTTTGATATACCAACTTTTCTTCATGTTGAGATAAAATTCAATTTTAATTTATTTTAATGCAACTAAGTTAAGTTCGATGTAACTACAGAAATAAACATGCATTTGCACATAGTATATCTAAGCAGAACTATGTTTTAAGCATATAAAAGTTTATTCATATATTCTCAAAGACAGAAAATTTTTTTTTTCATTTTATGATGAATGCGTGCCATACCCCATAATCAGAAACACAGGCTAAACTTTCACACAAAAAAAGTTTATGATAATATATTTTTAACGGTCCCATTTAATCTTAGGCCAAACAAAAAAATTCCCTTAATTAAAATCTCATTCATAAAATCCTATCAAAATTAATTGCTTTTGGAAAGAGTTTGTCTATCAATTAATACCCTTATATATTTTCGCAAAGATAAAGAGGACTTTTTTTTTCAATCTAATTTTTTCAGCTTGACATGATATACTCAGCAAAGGTACATAATCATTTTAATTTATCGCGCATGGGATTTAAGCTATTTAAAAATATTTTAAGTTTTTGTTAATTCAGCTTTCTATCTTAAACCTATCCTAGTGTTTGATGAATCAAAATATATATAGATAGATATTTTTTGCCGAAATTTTGAAGTTGACCTGGATATTCGATGTCATTTTTTTAAAACAGTGAAACATAAAAATATAAGAATGATAAATAGATAATTTAACAATTCAAAACATATTTTTTTAACATTTCAGCTAGCATAGGATATATTTTTTTCAGATTTAAATATGGGAATGCTATGAATGCTTTCCTTTGGTTATTCTGAGTGGCCTTCAAACTTTGAACTTCAGAAGTTCTATGCGCATAAAAAATTGCTGAAAATTTATTTTTCGTGAGACTTGAAAATTTCGTGAAAATTTATTTTTCGTGAGCTCTAAATCTCAAGCAATAAAATTATAATTACATTTTTTTAGTTTTAATGAAATTTTGATTCGTTTTCAACTATATAATATTTAAACCATTATAATAAGGTGAATATTTTTTTAAAACATCATTTGTTTCATATCCTTTAGCGAAATTGTCGACCTTGTTTTTTAGTTTATATAGTTTCAGTATTTCTTGTATAATTTTTATTTTTATTTCTGAAAATTATTTAAATAAATTACAATTATTACTCTTCAACTCATCATATCATAGTTATTTAATAGTCTATTTTGAAGACCCAGTGCGAAAAATACCCATTAATAAATAAAATGTTATAATGCTAAAATCTTACTTCGATATATAGAACACATGCATCAAAGTTTAATTAAAACGCATTGAATTTCAATTTTACACCAGCATATGGAAATCCCGAATTTTTCAAAAGTATTTCAACAGATATCTGTGATTTTTAATCGACAGAAATTTTTGATCTCTTGCTCAGAGAACAGAGCTACTAAGTTTTGATTTTAAATTAAATATAACTGACTATTAAATGACGGTAATCTAAGATAATTTGATGCACTCTCAATGAATGGAAACAAGAAACTGAGAAAAATATATATACTAGTGCAAGAAACATGTAAAATCCGAAAACTCATTCATAATTAGCAATTTTAAAAATTTATGAGTTGAATAGTGATTTTTAAAGTGCTACAACGGCTCATTCGAGTTTTTGTTTTGGAAAGATATAACATTGGCGATGCTCACAAAAGTACTGAAAATACGCAGCTGATTAAAAAAAATTTCGGGCTATGTCAGGATCAGCTACGAGTAATTAATAAAGCAAAAACAGCCCAGATTTAATCTAAAGACACTGAAAATAATGCCATACTTGCCCTACTTTTTTGCAAACTTTAAGTTATTGTTACGTCATTATTTAATGTTCCCAAATTCTTAAAATAATTCACTGTAATACATTTTTTCCTTTTAATAGTTCTCTGTAAATAATTCTAGTTGTCTTAATAGTTTTAATGATTTTTAAATTACTTTACAAACAATTTAGATTGAATTGCACTTCATTTATTGAGATTACTGAAACCGCATAATTCTCAACTCTGGCGACTGCAAATCTATTTAATATTTTATAATCATCGTCGTAGAGCCGACCTAATTTTTGGGTTTACAACTACTAATGCTCACCTCCACAACCTTGAAGTTTTAACTTAATCAAGAAGACCAGGAAACTCCTTGGTCAAAGTTTGGGAGGAATTTCCCTTCGTGGAATAGTTTTCGATGAAGCTAATCCCGCATTTGCGTTACACGAAGAGAAAAACCATGAAATACCTCCCACTGTTAACCTGATGGCAAGGGGACTCTAACCCATGATTTGTTTACCACTGAGAACATTTTACATCAGCACTGTGATCTGGACAAGCCAGGTGCGCAACTCGTATCGACCTGCCATCGCTGAGATTCGAACCCGGTTCACCTCAATGAAGGAAAACGCTCTATTCCTTGAGTCACTACAGCAACTGTACAGCTATTTTATATTTTATAACCGTCATTGTAAAGCCGACCTGATTTTCAGTTAATGACCAATATTCAACTCCGTAGTCTTGTAATTTTGAACCCTATCCGGAAGACAAGGGAACTCCCTGATCAGGCAAATTTTGCTATTTATTTTCCTTAATACACTTAAAAAATATATTTAAACTATATTGGATATTTCACTCGCTAAAGAATGTTTAAATGCACACACTGTAAGAAATTCCTGTTTAAATTACGGTATAAAGTACTAGCACTTCAGGTGCATCATCCGTAAAATAACCACAATATCATATTACCACAGTATCATCCAAATTCTCTAAATTGAACTCTATCTTTCAAATTAATGTTTCGTTTTTATCTTGATGTTAACTTTATCAAATTTTCTATTACTGTAAGAAAGCAGAATAATATAAAGCGCTCTGTATACTTGCACAAAATGTACTAATATTAAATTAAACCTAAATTTAAACAAGATATGCTAATATTAAATTAAACCAAAATTAAAACAAATATACTAATATTAAATTAAACCTAAATTAAAACAAATATACTAATATCAAATTAAACCTATATTAAATTAAATCTATAAATTAAACCTATATTAAATTAAACCTATATTAAATTAAACCTAATCTAAATATTTTTTTTCAGTTGCTGAAGCTAAAGTCTTGGAGGGACCAGCTCTGTATATTCAAAGTGGAAGCACCATTAACCTAACCTGCATTGTTAAGGAGTATGCAGTGCCACCTATTTATGTTTTTTGGTATCATGATGACCAAATGATTGATTACGAAACCCAGAAGGGCAGAGGAATCAAAGTTACCACCGAAAAAGGCCCAACAACCTACAGTAGATTTCGAATCGAAAAAGCTCAAGCAACTGACTCAGGCAATTATTCCTGCCAAGCCTCATATGCTGATCCTGCAAATATTACAGTTCATGTTCTAAATGGTAGTTATTTTTATTCAATGTTTCTCAAAACATGCGTTTGATTTAGAAAAATTCCAAATAAATAAATAAAACTGAAAGTATTTCGAAAATATCCTTATATCTAAAAATTGAATAGTATTTGCATAAATTAAAAAACATCAGTCATTAACAATTTTTTAAAAATTAAAACAAGTATATAGAAAACAGCATTATCAATTTTCCTTTCTTAATATCTATTATTTAACACAGCGATACATTATTTCCAGGTAGTTTAAATAGAATAAAGAACCTTTAATAGTTATAGCTTAGATTTTTACTTAGTCTCGTTTAAAGTAGTGTAAATATAATTATTTTAAACACTTTATTGAACTTCACAAATATTAAATAAAAAAATTATCTATTACTACAGAGTTTTCTGTTCAATGTAACGGATAGGTCAAAGTACTGCACAACCTAATAAAAGAGAAAGATATTAGGACATATTTTTCGTTGGTGAAGTATTTTCCAAATATAAAAATATATAATTAATATTAGGAGGAGAAAATATTTGCTGCATTCTTATAAATTGAAGAATTTTGTTATTACGCGAAACTATTACGCTAATTTGTTACAAATGTAGTTTAAAAAATGAATTGGTATTAATTGTTAAATCTTTTTAACAAACAAATTTTCGAATTAATCAATATGAAAGCGCATCGAAATAATTAAATTATAAAAGAAAAATATCCAATCAAAATTTGAGGAATAAAATAAAGTGCAAAAAAAATTATCACTTACACGAATCTTCCATATTCAGAATTTTAGAGAGCAAAAAAGAAAGAAAAATATCCTTTATTTGTTATCAAGAAATTTATTTTGAGTCGGCTTAAAACGTATTGATATACTAGCAGAAAAAGTACATAAACAACAAAAGTAAAGGTGCATTAACCACGCAATTTAACGTTCTCATACATTATAATTTTACAAATAAAGTCCACTTTTAAAGCTGAACATTTAAATACTGTTAGGGCAAAGTTGGTTTATATAAGCAGAAACTTCAAATCAACAACCGAACCATTTTTTTTCACTGTCAAATACCTTCAACCTAAAGCTTGTCGGTAACGTCATGCGAAAATCGTTATTTTCTATATCCATGATAACTAGTGGGCTCCACCCCTGTTTCTGTCACATCACCGAACTCAAAAGGTTGCTACGCTATATGTTATGGTTTGCTTGCTACCAAGAACCTATTTGAAATGTGATTTGATATAAAATCTTAATCAGTGAAATCATCTATAAGAATATCAATTTTTTAATAGATAATGCTAAAAATATTAATAATATCATATATAATTTAATTAATACAACCAAACATTCATAATGTAAAATATTAATTTAATGTATACAACCAAATATTAGTGTTATAAAATATTAATTTAATGAATAAAATCAAAGCGAGAAAATGACGATAGTTTCCCTAAATCCTCTTCCGAAAAAAAATTTTTTGCAAGTCAAAGAAATAATTTCAAACACTTAATAACATAAATAATTGCAGAAACTACTTTGCAACAGATATATTCAAAAATGAATGCGATTTTAGAACAGTTGTTAAACGAAAACTCAATAAAAAAAGTTTCCGGGATTTAAGTTTTATTTGGAGGACAATTTTATATTCCGATTTCTGTAAGACTTTCAAATCTCTTGGACTTAGAAATCTCTCTCAAAATGGATTCTAATCCATTTCATCTCTTTTCTTTTAGATTTGCAGTTATTTTTTCTTACTGAATTTGTCCATTTTCGATCATTTACAGTTTTCCTTCCTCTAATTGTTATATTTCATATTTTCATATTCAATTTTATTCCATTCTATTCAAAGGCGCTGCGCTGTTTGTACTACATGTTTATAGCAATGACAAATCTGTTACTCCTAGTTTAAGACCAAATGCTTAGATTTAACAATTATTAGTGCAGAACTAATTTTTGAAGAATTTAACTAGTTCGTTAAGTCTGCAGTTTTGTTTTCCAAATATCTTTTTTATTTTGCTACGTGCTAAAAATAAAACTTGCGTATAATGAAACATGCTTATAATAAGAACACATGTTTACAAAATGAGCAGAAATATTTGAAAATAGCAAAAGAATTCACCGCATTATGTGAAACAAAATTTAAATAAGTAATAACTGTGTATTTAATGTATAACTATCTCTATGAAATAACTAAATCATAACATTTATGGATATCATAAAATGTTGAAAGAAGCTCTTGAAAAAGTTTAATATTAAATTGAAAATTGAAAAATTCGATTTCTAAAACTTCGATGTTATCAAAACTTCTAAGGGGAATTAACCATCAAAGACTTATTTAATTTGTGTCGTTATCTTTATCAGTATATAGGTGCAAGTCATTGCAATCACAGAAGAGATTCTCGGAGTATTTTGATCTTCTCTAAGTTCTCACGAAATTGGATTTTGCATTTAATTGACTGTGGTGGTATTTGCTCAAATACATTAACTGTGACGGGCTGTCACCATTAATTAGTTTTCCGCTTTTGAAGGATAGTGACCTAAGTCAAGTAATGAGTAGAATAACTAATTTAAAATCTAAATGATTGATCCTTTTTGAAAAATAAGCAGATGAAAGTATAATTTTCAATTTCGAATGTTTTCTATTTTAAATTCTTCATTTCTTATGGTATGTATTGAAAATAAACACAAAATAATAAATTAACTCAAAATAATCTACCCAAAACTCATTAGTCTTTGATAAACGTAGAAAAATAAATTGTAAAGCTAAATAATGGGCAGAAAATATCAGTCAGAATCAGAATTAAAATATATATTAACTAATAATCATTTAACTACATAGCAACATGGTCAGATTATGGTATGTGTTGCGAAAAATACTTTAACCTGTACCTGTATCTGTATATTACCTGTACGAAAATTATTTAGCGTACAGGTTGTTCATGTTTTTTTTTCTTTTTTTTTACTGTATGTGAATGGAATGTTAGTCTGGTCATACTAATGTTAGTAAGGTCATGCCAATGTTGTTCTAGTCTTACTAATAAATAAGCTTCATGAATAATGTAAAATAACTACTCTGCAGCATAATTCAGAAAAAATGCAATAGAATTTAATACAAATGGGAGATTTTACTTGTTACGCGCTCGGTCGTGCAAACGGTAACGGCAGAACTGCCCTACGGATGTATCACGCGCGGTTTCCTTTTCCACTAATGCGGATCACCGAATGTTTCAGTGGTTACATCAACTTCGTGAAACAGGTTTGTTCTCCTCACCAGGCATGAAGCTTTTTCGAAGAAGGGGCTGTACGCCAGGAAGAAAGCATCTTGAGCTTTGTGGCTGATAGATATCAATCAAGTATAAGAGCTGTTGTTCATCACGCAATTGGGAGTAATCACAGCGTTTGTGGAATGCTAAACGAAAATCACTTATACCCTTTCCATTTTCAGACGAGTACAAGCTTTGAATCCTGCTGACTATACTCTCTGTCGGATAATCTGCCAATGGGTGATACAGTGATGCGCGTTACAGATGGACTTCATAGCTCATGTGCTATTTACAGATAAGGTAACATTTACACACGAGAGCGTGTTTAATGAGGAAAATGTCCATGTGGGGGCAGCAGAGAATCTACATGCAACGAGGCCACATGCATATCAACAACGATTCTGTGCGAATGTGTGGGCTGGTATTGTCAACTACTTTTTTACTCATCAATGCTTACTACCGACTCAACTTAAGGGTGAATATCATCTTATTTTTCTGGAACAGGTGTTACCAGAACTACTGCAGGATGTTCCGATCTCAATTCGTAACAGCATGTGGTTTCAGCAAGATCGGGTGCTATCCCACTTTATCAATAATGTGTGCACTTACAGGAATGCCACGTTTGAGTGGCGATGGATTGGGCTTGGTGGACTAGTCCTTTTCCACCCCGATCTTCCGATTTATCGAGCCTCGATTTCTTTTTATGGGGACATTTGAAGAATCTTGCTTATGCGACTCCACTTGATTCAAATGAGGATCTCGTTGCTCGAATATCCGAAGTTGATGCACGTGTGCGTGAAATACCTGGCTTCTTTGAAAGTGTATGCCAAAGCTCTTCACTGACTCTGTCAAGCATGTATTGCTACTGGTGGACGCAATTTTTGACATTTATTGTAAACATTACACTTGTCAACGACGCTTTCAATAAACCCTTTGTCTTTCCCTTCGTCTCTTATTTTTTGTGTTTACGCCTCACCGCGAAACTTGTGCCCATACTTTCGTATACAATAAATGATTCTTACAATATCTTTCAATGTTATAATTTAAAGTTGTCAATAAATACTCTGAGTATTGTTTCGTAATTTTAAAGATGTTTAGTTCAAGCAATTTTTCATACTTAGTAATAAGATTTAAAGCTATCGAAGGTTTAAGAAACTGACAATAAATTACGATAGAAAACAAGTATTTTTGAAAGCATTCCATGCCAGAAAATAAAGCAATAAACTTGCAACTTACTTCGATTTCTTTGATTCTTATTTGCAGCAACTACAAAAAATTTATATAGATATGGCAATTTTTTTATAAAACAAAAACTTTTTTTTTTCCTTATGTTTTTAGTTACAACTTTAAAAACGAAAATTAAAATAAAACAAAATTTTTTGATCAATTTAAAATCAATTACAAAATTATTGTTTTGAAATTTGAAAAAAAATTGCTGAAAATTGTGCAAGAAATAAGTATTTAAAGTAGTAAGTTAGCAATAGTAGTAAATTATTTTTTAAAATTATTTTTTCAAGAATATGTATTGTATTTGGCAACTAATAAAAGCACTTAAAAAAGTAAAAAGTTCATATCAATTTTCTAAATAGTACTTGTACTCTTTAAGAGAAAGCTCAAAATGATCAGGGGTGTTTAACAAATTTTATTATGCAATATTGCAAATTACACTACCTTATAATAAACGGACCGCAAGATCAAAACTGAAGCTGTAGAAAACCTCCTATCGTTTTGTGTCTTCATTTAAAAGTGCAAAAACTACTTCGAAAATTGGTTGAAACTTTTTACATTTTTAAGATTTTCAAATCAGACTTTTTCATTAGTTGCCAATTACCATTCACCTCAAAATTAAAGGAAAAAAAAATAAAAAAATTTTTCCACGTATGCACAGTATAAGCGAACTACAATAAATATTTAATTTTTAAATATAATAATTTTGTTATTAATTTAAAATTGATCAAGAAATTTCGTTTAAATTTATTGAATATTTTTAAGTTATAGTGAAAAAACCTAAGACAGAAAAATCAGTTTTATATCAAAATATCCATCTCTCCATAAACATTCTGGCGAAGTTATCAAAACTTTATGTAGTTTTCGCAAATCACAACCAAACAATTACATACAATTTACAAGTACATACAATTACATACAATTTACAAATAACATACAATTTACAAGTAGATGCCTTAATTATTTGGCACAGAATGTTCAAAAATACTTGTTTTCTTTCGTAATTTATAATCGGTCCCCCTAACCTCAGATAGTTTTAAATCTTATTGCAAAGTATGCAAAATGAACCAAACACTTCTAAAGTTACAAAATAGTTCTTTAAGTATTTCCTTAGAAATTAAAACAAATATTGAATACTGAAAGTATCTCTTCCATTATTGTAAGGTAGAGTATATACATAGAGGTCGCATTAAATGATGTAATAAATCGCAAGGTAAATTACAAGTTAACATATTTATTTCACAAAAGTTTTTAAATGGATTGCAATTTGTAAAGTACTTCCCGAGGAAAGTGTTAGTCCGAGTCACTAGTCTTCCTCGTTTAATTTAATATTATCCGAGAGTGAAAAAAAAATAGCTTAAAGTTTTATTTTTACATTTATCTTTATATATCTCGAAGGAAGAAACAAATGGAGTTAAATTCAATATCGGTTTATCGGTTTTGTTCCAACTTCAAACAATTATAATAATTGGAAAATATGAAGGATTTGAGATTAGTTTTTCGAGGGCCTTCTTATAGGCATTTATTATACAGCATATAAATACAAAACATTACACTTGCAAGAAATAAATTTGAAATTTTCGTCATTCTATTTAAACCCTTAGTTTTTCAATTTTTCTACATTCACAATCTAACTATTTTTGAAGGAAAAACCTCAAACACTAATTAAGTGTTACAAATAAAATTTTCAGAATGGAACAATTTGATATAAAAGGCATTTATGTAATTAAACTGTGAATTCAAATTTGAGTTTAACGGATAAAAATATAGCGAGAAAAAACATTGGAAAATTAATAAATCAAGATTATTTAGATTAAATGAAATCTTATTGTATAATAGTTTATGGTGAACGGATAGTAAAGGCATACTTCATTTATTTAGTGTATATCTATAGATTAACCTCTTAACTAGAGGAATAATTCTAGTTAGAAGTTTCTCTGAAAAGTCAATTTAATTAATTACATTTTCAATCAACAAAATGTAATAATTATACACTACTTTTTACATAAAAATCATGCTTTATAAAATTAGCGTATGTCCATGGACTAGCCACTCTTCAACTAAGAGAATAATTCTAATTAAAACCTTTTCCGAAAAGTCATTTTTATGTGTTGCTCAGCAAGTCCCCAAAATGTAATTATTTACTGCATTATACCTAAATAAATCATATCTTATTAATTTAGCTTTTATCTATGGACAAACCACTTTTGAACTAGGAGAATATTTTTTATTAAAATAATCTCTGAAAAGTCAATTTCCTGTATTCCACTTTCAGTCACCAAAATGTACTAATTATATACCACCTTTTATCTAATTTTTTAATTATTAATTTAGCGTGTATTTATGAACTAACCACTTTTAAACAAGAGTTATTCTAGTTTAAATCTTCTCTGAAAAGATATTTTCATGTAAACCACTTTCAGTCACCAAAATGTACTAATTATAGACCTCTTTTTAAAATCGACTTTTTTGATATAGTGTATTGACTAAAAACTTTTGAACAAGGAGAATAATGTTAATTAAAATCTTCTCAGAAATATCATTTTTGTGTAATGCTATGTATTGCCAATAAAATTTAATAATTATGTACTACCTTTTACCCAAAAAATCATAAATTATTAGTTTAGCGCATATCTATGAACAAACAACTTTTGAAGTAGGAAAATAATTCTAATTAAAATCTTCTTTGAAAAGTCATTTTAATGTATAGCACTTTCAGTAACTAAAATGTAATTATTATATACTACCTTTTACCCCAACTTCTAATGTAAATTCACTTAAAGAGCGAATGCTTATTCGAAAATTAATATAATCAGCTTATTTCTTTAACTGTAGTTGTTAATTCAAGGCACTTTCTAATTTTGGTAATTTATCTTAAAATTTAGGGTCAACTTGGAACGCGGATGATGGTACACAAGGGGATGAAAATAACCATAATGTTAAAGGTCAGTCTCCTTATCTTCTTTTACGGTTAAGAGAAGTTGGGGTAATTTTTCATTTCTTACGACGACTTTCGAGACATTTGAATAGGAAATTTATGGCGAAAATAAGTTAATGGAAAACTTTGTTCTGAGTGTAGTCGGGTTGGTTTAAAAGGTTTAAAAGATTATTGTTATAAATGTGTTAAGGATTATCTCGCAAAACTAATCAAGATTCAATTTTTTCAGTTGTTTTGTAAAATAAATTTTTCGTACATTAAATTTTTATTGAAGCGTTAGATAAACTTTTCTAATTACGTAGCAAATATTCTAAATCAGAAAACTATAGAAAGTCTAAATCAGGATTACAGAAAAATAAATAAAAGTTAGACAGTTAAATAAAGAAAGATCAATAATAAGAAACCGAGTAATACTATCAAAAATTCCATGCATTAATGTTATTATTTTTGGAAAGACATTTAACAGAAATTAAAATGAAATGTGTGTACATCACTTATTCGTAATGCTTCACATTTCCCTGGAAGAAAATTAATTTGAAACATGCTAATAAAAAAATGACGCAAAAATATAACTTCATTCTGTAGAATGAAATAACAAAAACTCTTATATTTTTCCATTAAAATTTTGTTTACATTTTTCGAAGCATTTATGTTTAAATAGCGCAACTACTGAAAAATATGTATTGGGGTTTTAAACGCTTTTTCATCATTGAAGAAAATTATTTAGGTCTACTCCCTGTAGATTTCTTTTTAATGGGTTATTATTCGGGTTGAATAATTTACTTGCCATCATTTGTATAACATATGTGTTTTTATTCATTAAGTAAGTAACAGTAACATTTTTTTTAAAAATAATAAATTTTTTAGCGACAACCGATATTTATTTTTAATTTATTTTTATAAGAAAAATTCAATTTGATATCAGAACATGATGCTCATATAAAGAACCTTACCTTCTAAAAATAATCTTTAAAAAAATGAAAATAATGCCTCCGAATTTTAAATACTAATAATGCGAAAGTAATTCATTTTGTTCCTGAGTTATTAAATTAAATTTTGATATTGTTGTTCAAAAAATTCTTTGTAGAACGAAAATATTATTTTTTTTTATTTATTTGCTTGCTTTAATTTGTGGTATCATTTAATAGTTTAAAAAAATTCCCAAATCAACTTCATTCCCAAAGCACATATATTTGAAAAAAGTAAATGGACACAAATGTTACGAAAAACAATTAATCATGCTTGTAAACTAAACTTCTTAGCTTCAACCGCAGCGAAAAGCTTTGTATAGTTATAAAAGTATAGTTATAAAACAGAAATTTTAAATTTAACTGAAACTTTCTGTTTTTATTTTAATATTGGAAAAAGTAGACGACCCATTTCCTTATCTTAAAAATCCACTCTTTTGCAAAGAAATATCAAAAAAATATAAGTTTGAATTTTGTTCTAAAAATTAAATAGATACTTATTGTAATATAATAATAATAAGTATCTAGCGAAGTAATTAGCGAAAGACATTATTTCTTTTTTATAAAAATTGCAAATTGAATTTGTAGTTAAATATATCAGAGAGTTTAGAAAAACAAATCGCTTACTGACCTAATATCTTGAAGGAGAATGCGTTCATTTATTTAGCTTCGTTATCTCGCGTCCCACGAGAATTTTATAAGCCAATTAAAAATATTCTCAGTTTTTCTTTTTTTTTTAAGTATCAATTTCTTTGAATGTACCCTACTCCAGAAAAAGTTCATCCTTGTACCCAATTTCTGTCAGAGTGCATCGTATTTTTACCATTTACTCATTCATACTCAACAGTATAAGAGGCAGAACAATCTCGATGACAAATGATTGCATTTCTGCCTCAATGACAGTTGCAAAATTAATGTCCATCCTAAAAGTGTATTCGAATTCTCTGAGGATGCTTTCCAATCTCGCAAACGCAATTGAATGAATAATATATTGGTCAATTTTGCATCATTGTGTTTAATTCTGAACCCATGCATCACGTCAACAGGATAATTATTCCGAGATCGCATGTGCATTACGTGCCGGTCATGCAATACTTAAAGATTAACATTTCTATTTAAGGACATTTACTACCTTCAATAGAAACTCAACTTTGATTATTCCGTCATTTATTATTTTTCTCCAAAAAAATTGTTTACAGACCCAATATCTTCAGAGAATACGTTCATTTATTTAGCTCTGTTATCCAGCGTCAAACAAGCATTTTTGTAAGCCAATTAAACACTTTTTCTCAGTTTTTCTTTACACTACGCAACGCATCAACTCCTCTGAATGGACCCTAATTCAGAAATATTGCAAAGGTACATCAATTGTGCGCAATTTACGTCAGAGTACTTCTTATTTTTATCATTTACTTATTCATACCCAACAGTATAAGAAGCAGAATACTAGAGAGCAATCTCCAAGACGAATGATTGCATTTCTGCCTCAATACCAGATGCAAAATTAATGTCCATCCTAAAAGTGTATTTGAATTCTCTGAAAATTCTTTCTAATCTCGTAGAGGTAATTGAATGAATAATATATTGGTTAATTTTGTATCATTGACTTTAATTCCAAACTCGTGCTTCACATCAACAGGTTAATTATTCAGGGAGAGCATGAACATTACGTGCTGGTTATACGATACTTTCGGAGGTAAATTCTTAATAATAAACATTTCTATTTAAAGACTTTTACTACCTTCAATAGCAGCTCAAATTTGCTTAGTCAATTATTATTTTTCAAAAAAAAAATAGCACTGTTTCAATAAATTTACTATTATTTTTTTCTATATTTTTTGACCCCTGAAAAATATTTTTAATTTCAGACATTGTTTTTTTTTCCATAACACAATTTGCATAATTTTTGTTTATTTCTGCCCTACAAAGTTACTAAATTATACAAGAATTAAATGAGAATGCTTATTTAAACGATGAATTAATTCTGATATCAGTAGCCACAAAATATACTAAATACTAAGGATTTATAACTCTGTTCTTAATCATCAGCTTCCCAACTTTTAAAAAAAACGTAAACATTTATGTTAGTTAAGTCGAATTTGTACGGTTGGAGAACAAAAGAGCGATATTAAAAAATATTTTAGAATATTTGAAATATATATTTCAAATATATATTTCAAATATATATTTCAAATATATATTTCAAATATATATTTCAAATATATGTTTTAAATACATATTTTAAATATATATTTTTATACTTTTAAATATTTATTAAGTGCATATTCAAAATATATTTTTTGAAGATTGATAATTAAATTGTGGATGAATGAATTGATGTGTGAATGGGTCCGCCAACAGCGAGTGTGCCATATGGGTGTGACAGAAGACGAATTTTTGGCCATAGATGGCGCCACTGGAAAACTAGCACAATCGCGTTCCCTGCCTTAATAGCCTACGACAACACCAACAACAGATATATATTTATTTTAAATATATACATTAAATACATATATATTAAATACATATTTGAAATATATGTTTTTAATATATATANTTATAATATTGAGTTTGACCGATATTAAATACATATTTCAAATGTATATTTTAAATGTACAAAACCTTCTCAAATTTTATCACAAAATTATTTCTTTTTGTGGTTCAATTGGGTATTTTTATAATTACAGTTTTCATAGATTTATGCAAGCAAAAAATAGAAAAACCTATTTAAAAAGAAAAGCTTTATAGAGAAAAGCATCCATAAAGCAATGATAATCGATAGATAATTGTAAAGTTTAAAAAAATTATACTTCAAGCACAACTTAAGCAAATAACTAAATAAAGGAAAAGAATAAAAGTCGTATCGATCCATACTTTAAAAACTATAGATAACTGAACAAAATAAGACTTTCTACAAATTCTGTTGTGTATGTTTAAGAAAAAATTTAAATATTTGAAACGAAATATTGACTGACAAAAGCAAAATTAAAAAAAAAATCGAAAAATTATAGTTTTGGAATTAGTTCTCAAAGAAACTAGTGCTGCTCTAAAAATCAGTTGTACTGCTTAGTGTGAAAGTCGAGTTAACTCTCACCTTAACTTCGTGTTTACTCTCTGCGTTTCGATTGCAGAAATGTCCAACAAAGATTTGAATGTCCTCAAAAGATTTGGAAAAAAAAATAAATTCGCTCTCAATTATTCAGCCTCCTTGTTACTGCAGCATCAAATTAGTCCCAAATCTGTAATGAAAATAAGTTTGAGATAATAGACAATCAAACCAAAAAGCATAGGATTTAAGTTTCTTGATACAGCAAAAGATTGCAATAGTCGAGAAAAAAAACTTAAAAACCATATCTTAATTCTTAAATTTTCAATTTATGCTCTTTTGAAATAGAAAAAAATATGTTAATTCTAAACTGCCGATTACAATTACCTACCGAAGTATAAATGTACAAAATAATTTAATACTATGTCATATTTTTATTGCTTTTATTACGTATTTGTAAAAACTATTCCGACGTTGTTGGTCGATAAGCAGAAAAATAAGATTTTAAAAGTTTACTAATTTTCCAATCTGATTTAAATTAATCGAAACTATTTTACTGATGATGAATATAACTTAATGGCTAATGTCTCATACTAAACGTGTTCTAAACAGAACTATAATTTTAAAAACTAAGATTTCCGGAAGTAAAAAATTATCAAATGAATGATTTAAATGCAGTATAATTTGGTTTTATAAATTTTTTTCCTACAAAAATCTGGAAATGTCATTATTATTTACTATGATAATTTTACCAGATTTTTTTTCGCTGAGTAATATAAACGCACTTTATGACATATATTAAAATAAAATCTATTAATTCCCGTAATTAGTTCGAGAGATTTATGCAAGAATGCTCCCAACACTTCTAAAGACTAAAATACACTTTAAAATAATTCACAAAAATAATAACATATTACTGTAAAAAAACAGACACACTAAATGCAGCATCCGTAAAACACATTTCACCATAAAATCCATTTTTGCAGTGGAATTTTATACCGTAATTTTTACTGCAATATTTATTTAATTTCAGTGATTGAGTGATCTCGCAATAAATATAAGTGTATATAATTTGCGACATATCAGACTTTTTCTTTCGTAAAATTTTACAATAAGAAATATTGGTACATCGAGTGCCTACACTTTTTAGCGTAATTTGATCTGGAACTTTTTAGTGTATGCATTAAACTATGTATTAAACTTTTTTTCTACATTGCGGCTTCTCTTTATATTTTAAAGATAAAATATACACACAATTCTATTTAAAGGAAGCAAGTTTTTTTTACCTCATTGACTACTTTGAAAACTGTTAAGTGATAATTCATTAACATTATATTTATTATACCATGTTTAACACTTTATTACATAATAATCAAATCACATATTTACGTAAATATCTGATATTTATGTCAAAAATTGTTCTAAATATATCCATTTGCTTGACAATAATAAAATAACTAATGTCCTCTTTCTCACAACAGCATCATAATTTTTTTTCTTTCTCCAGGAGAAAAACCAGCTGCCATGCAACACGGACCTAACGGAAGCCATTTCCATGCTGAAATACCAGTTTTGCTGATCGGCTTTTCTGTTTTGACGAGCTTCTACCTGATATAAAGAACTTACAGTTACTCAAATGAAGAAATACTGCTATTTCTTCAGCTCATTAACAGGATACTCTAATGATATTCAAAAGTGGTGCTCTGATGGCCGGACATGTAACTGGATATACACCACATTCAGTATTACGTCACAGATTTCTTTTGGATGTCAAAGCGCATGTTGTCTCCATGTGTTATTGCTGTGATGAACAATAAATGTCATAAACACGTGACGTTTAGTGTGAAACAAGCCAGAAGTGAAAACTTCATTTGAATTGTGGAAAAGAGCTACTGAAACACGTGACTTTACTGATTTTTCCTTGATTTGCTAATATGTGAAAAATCTATTTTAAGTTTCATATTTATAATAGCAAGTATTGTGCTATTATGTTTTATGTATTCGGAGCAATGTGTTTGCTTAAAACAAATAATTGAAGGAAAGTGAAGTGAAAATATGTTTGAAAGTAAAAACTCCTTCAGTTTTATAGTTGAAATGGATTTTAAAAAAAATTCAGTTGTCCAGAAATGAAAGGATGAGGAATTTATGAGGGAAAAAACAAGAGCTAATGATGAGAAATAGTTTAAATACTAGCTATTAATGAGCTTAATTATCGTTCAGACATTTTTTTACCACAGCAGAAAAAGGTTGGCAAATGGTTACTCTTAAAACAAATTGCATTTTTGGACTACACTTTGTGAAAAATAATGTTTCATTTCAAATTGTACTTGTATTTATGCTCTTTCTAAAGTTCACAAGTTCCCTTTAGCTTTCAGATATATTGTCCCCAACATTGATATACCGCGGTATAAATTTCCTCACCTTCTCTTTCGTATTATCTCACACCTTAGTTCATATAACAGCCATATTCTAGAAGATTCTGTTGAGTTCGTTTCCCACCTGGCTCACCATTATATCTCAAATAATCAATGTCCTCTCTTGACGATGCATTCATTTATTTCAAAATATTTTTATTAGCAGTGTTACTGGTTATTTAAGACAAAGTTTACGGGGATTCCATGACTCTTAATTCTGTGATAATTTTCATGCATAATTTTTCAAGAAAATCTTCAAATTCTTTAAACTGTGTACATGTGATATTGCGTGCAAAAGCTTGAAGTCAACCAGTGAAGGCATTTTGGCTTACCAGTGCAAGTTTTTGGTTCCAGTCCCAATTGTTCTTTCTCAATCTTTTTCCCCATCGTTCTTAATCGAGCCCACATATTTATTAAGCTCGATTTCGGAATCTTGAATCTACTTGCTAATTAATCGTAATCATACCTGTTTGAAAAGGAACCTACCTTTTTTTGTCTTCAATTAAATTTTAATCAATGCATGCAACTCAGTCAAATATTTTTTTCTTCATATTTTGAACCACGTTAAAACAAATTCTACTCAAACAATTATCATTTTTTCATTTAATAGCATATATGTAAAATTATGAATAGGACTCGGTAAATAAGTTTTCAAAATTCATACTTATAAGTTGAAATTATGTATTTTAACCAAATAATATTATTTTAAACAAAGAAATTAATCCAAAACTTACTTTGATGTATGAAAACCGTAAAGCCCGAAAAACAGTATTCATTCAGTACAATTTAAAATGACTTTCAATGCACTGACTTTGCTTTCTTGTTGATAATCATACTAAGCGAGCTTAGAAATAGAATTATACATTATTGTACAACATTTTGAATCAACAATTTATAATATTGAGTTTGACCGAAGACTTTGATACACTTATGAATGTGTATATAACAGAAATAAAACTTTCCCTTTTGAAAATTCAGCAATCCGTAAGCTGTATTTCGTGAATTCTAAGCTGTATTTAATGTATAAGCTGAATTCATTTTCAGAGTTACTTTGTCACCAAATCACGTGATTTGTAAGTAAAAGCAAAATCTCAAAATTATGACAAAACTCAACTCTAAATCTTATCGTAGTGCATTGTCGGAGATAGCTGACAAGAATGAAGAATGGACGATCGAAAATAAAGTGATGAAATAAGCCAGCCAGCTGTATGGTGGTCAAGAATTATGCCTCGTATCTGGAGGATCTCGCGCTTCTTGAATTTGTGTAAGTTATCTCTCTGTTTCATCTGTTCTTTTCATGTTTGTGGAGTGACACTGGTCTACTTACATCGTGTCCTCGTTAAAGTGATTATTAGAGAAAAATAGATACCTTAGATTATACGAGGATTTTTTTTTTGGAGGGGGAAATAGAATGAGGAAATATTTCTATAATTTTGATGAAATGTGTTTCCTTGAAGAAGTAACAATAGTTATTTTGTCACTTTGACGAAATTTTGCTGGAGGGAAATACCAGGAAACGGTTTTGTTACAATTATGTTAATGGACAATAATACTGATTAGCAAAAGTTTCCATTGCCAACTCATTCTCTAACATTAATTTTACCTTAGACGTGGGAAATAACTATACAATTTTTTTCATATGTTCCAGTAACTCAACATAATGAGGATTTTCCCAACTTTGCACTCAACAGTTGATTCAGCCTTTATTAGCTCCTGGTCGGCTATCATCATTTATCTTGTTTTTTACACCAAAAATTTCCTTTTCCTTGTTTTTCTGGCAACTGTTACTTTCTAGTTTCTAAACTACTTCTGTAATAATGATGCAGTTATTTATGCTTTTACGAGTATAGCTTGATTCGAGCCTGTCAACCCTTTATCCATTTCAGCTATAAAGCTAAAGAAGTTTTTTTTTATTGCCAATGTATTTGCTTTTTTAATTTCAGATTTTATTTCTGATCGGAGATAATATCATCATAATTAACTATTCTGATAAAAAAGATGTTACAAAACAATTATCACTGCATATACATCATCATTGTTGACATGTCATTTGTAAATTTGAAATTCCATCGGTTAGTTGTCATTTATTATTATCATGAAAGATGAAGAAAAAGAAATTCTTGTTTCAAAATGATAAGCTCATAATTCCTATGAAACAAGAATTGTATATCACACGATAAATTTGTTTAGTTGACATCTACATTTTTTTTACTGAACTTAGATGACTATACTAGTCATAATGCCAGTGGATCTCCAGTTTAAGTTGTATGAGAATTATATTAAATGTGGAAATTATGTTACAAGAAACAATTAAGGGGTCTAAGTTGCTCTGATTTCCTTGAGGATGCATTGTTTAACTTTTTTGACGTTTTATAACAACAATTTTTCTGACAAATTTTACTTAGAATTCAGAATATTTTGCATGAGTTTCAAATAAGCATAGTTACTATTTAAATGAACTCTTTTTTGAGAAATAATGTAAAAAACTGTTATAATTTAATTTTTTAGAGCTAAAATTTAAGAAAAAGGATAGTATGCCGCTTTTTGCTCAATATAAAAGTCATAAAAATCATATTAATAATTTAAAATAAATTTCAAGAGGCAGTCAAATATTCTCTTCTTAATACGGTACTGGTTAAAAGCAAAATGGAGGATAAAAAGTGCACATTTTAAAAAATAAAAACCTAAATTTTGTATTTTTAATGAAAAAAAATTTATTTTCACCAAAACAAAGTACAAAATATTTATCAATATTCAATCACTAGCACGAATTTAAGTAACATGCTATACTCAATTCAATTACTAAGTTTCACCTTAATATGTTTATAAAGAAACAAACAATCTTTAATTTAAGGTAAAAAGAATTGAATGGATAAATTATTTTAAACAAAAAAACGTGAATTTATAGACGGTTTCCATTTTGAAAATGTGAGTTTTACTTTCTGCCTTCATTAAGGGGATTTAAGCATTTTCACTGCAATTTTGGATGTTAATACTTTAACATTGGGTCAAATTGTTCACTGTAAAACAGGTCATAACAATTGTTTCTTGACCCTTTAAATCTAATTTATCAAGATTGAATAAAACTCCCCCTTTTAATTATTATCATTTAATCATTATCATTTGGTCATATGTCAGTTCCAAGGAATTTTAATGGTTTCTTCCAATATTACCAGATTGACGTGAAAGGGTTGTTTAAAAAAATCCTATAATTTTTTAAGCGAAATAAAATCTGTGAATAATTATTAACGTTTACAAATTATTAGAAAGTTTGAAGCAAATATTTTTAATATGAGATAATTTACATTCCAGTTAAACTAAGTTGTCTGATACAAATAAAATGAGTCTTAACCGCGAAATGTCTTTTGTAACACAAAATTTTTTATGACAAAATAATATAAGAAAACTCGAAATATTTTTAACTGAACATAGTTATTTTCAGAATTTAATGGGAATGATAAATTATCATTATGTTTTTTTAATTGCATTATTTCAGGCAGTTAAGTGCACGTATGCATATGCGAAGTCGAAGATAATGCGGAGTTTTAAATTAGAGATAACATTTTAAAATAAAGTAAAAATCAAAAACATTCCAAAATATCTCATTAATAAGTTTAGTGACATACATACATATATATATAT